ATTATTATTATTATTATTATTATTAATATTATGACAGGATAAGGACATGGATGAGGACAGGACAGGAGGACAGTGTGAAGAGATGAGAGCCACCCCATGCTTACTGGACCCTGGGAGTGGCCCCTTGGATAAAGGAGGTGATTAGTGCCTCCTTGCAGAAATACTGTATGTGTTTCTCCCTACCCAAAGTAATGCAATTTTTTTTCCAAAGAAACCCTCCTAGACCTAGGAAATTGAATGCTCCATTCCTGGGAAGGTTGATTGGGGTGATAGTGGTCTTGCAGTTTCAGATTCATCTGAATGATACTAATTTTTTCACCAATTTCAATCAGGTTTTCAGCTGGAGATGGTACTGCAACTGAATTGATTGATGGATGACCCACACCAGATATTGGGTGGGGAGAGTTTGTTTATTTTCCTGAATGTCTCTGTATCATTGATATGAGAATTGAATGAAAAATAATGCTTCCATCTCCATAATTTTATTTTAAATAGGGATATTTTAATAAATGAAACAGGAAAATAATCCTTGAAATGAGTTCTCTTGTTACTCGTATTTACTTCTCTACATAATAACCACCATTTGCTACAGACTTCACCAATGATGGAAAATTGTAAAACCATCACAAAAGAGCTTCACAGTTTGTCTCCTTAACCAGGTCCTGACAGTCCTTTCCACTTCTTTACAGTATGCCATATTTATCAGACAGATCCCCACCAAGTTATTCCTTCAATTTTGGAAAAAGATGGAACTTGCATGAAGCCAAGTCTGGACTGTAAGGGAGGTGCAGTAAGATGGTGGAAGGCCTAGTGTTGTCGTATTTCAAAAAGATTTCCTTCTTGTGCTTCTGAATTCTGCTTAATTGATGTTTGAAAGTTTCCAGTATTGAAGAACATCAGTAATATGAACTACATGTCCCTGTGAAACCCCAAGGTGACAGCCATTTCCCTTTGAATGGTCTGCTAATTGTTCTTAATCAGTTCATCAACCTTTCCTTGTGAAACTCCTTGGTTGTTGTTATAGGCCTCCTTCTGAAAACAAAGGCCACAAGAAAAATTGTTTACATTTTGAAGGGCATTGTTTTGATACACAATTTTATACTTTCTCATAATGTGTGGGCATGCATGTGATAGTGCACTCTATCTTATTTACAAAGGATTAACT